TCTAAATTAAGTATGTCAAAGAAAAATATGAAAATCTGTTGTGATATTGTGGCATATTTATTATATTTATTTAATATATTTTTTAATATATTGATGCAACTTTGTGTGTGATTACTGTAATAATGATTATTTATCACAAGCCTAAACTGAAAATGTTATGAGATGTAGCTGACAAAAATATAAAATAGATGTAACTGCTTGACAGTCAAGATGGGAAAGTGGCCATTACACAAACATTCTGTGTAGAAAAAAGTGGGTGAATGTAAAACATAGGTGAGAACTAGAAGTGATAAGTTAAGGCTAGAGCAGCCCAAGCGTATGGCTGGTATCCTGTGTGCTGCTGCTACACTGAGCATACTGGCATTTGCAAACATTCAGGCACAGCTGTTCATGCAGAGTTCTAAATGTATTTACTATATATAGTGCATTTAGGTAATCTTCTGGTGGAACACTGTCTTTTTTATAAAAATACTCAAAATAATGCATGGTTAGTATATAGAACAACAAGATGTACTACATCATGCTGTGTGTTCAGAAGATTCAAATTGTGGGGTAGGGATAGGTTTTTCTCCTTAAAATATACACCTTTGCAGCTGTAGACTCTAAGCCAAGAGTCTACCAGAAGGAGGACCTTATAAATTGTACAATATAAGCAAAGGGGATTCTAAGTGAATTTCAGCTTTTCTGCATCTGAGACACAACATCAGCCATTAACAGTTACAGTTATTGTGATCCCTCTTGCTTCTCCTGTCATCACGCTCATTTCACTTTTACACATTAAAATCTGTAATGGGGTCAAGAGCTGAAATACACGGAGGAAGGAAGGAAGCTAAACATTGGTAGTGGTGGTGGTGGGGGTAAAATGTAGAATTTTTTTAATAATTTTTTTTCATGCATGTTGCACACATACTAACCACAAAGAAACAAAAATCTGTCTTCCCTCACCTTCCAGTCTCCTCTGCCTGTGAATCAAACCATGACTTCTGGCTGTAATGAAAATGATGGTACTTTATTGTATTTTTTAATGTAATTTAAGGAAATACGTGGAAGAAATGTTTTTAATCCTTGCCATAGACCAGAAAAAAAACAAAACAAAAATAAAGCTCTGTGGGTTTCCTCTGTAAACTGGATGACAACAGATTCCTGTCTGTAAATGACACACAGATGTTACAATGTACAGACATTAGTAGTTCAAACACAATCTGTGATGGGCAAATAAAAGTACAAGTTTTTAACAAAATACAATGAATCCAAACATTTTCAAACTGCACCTTAAGAACTTCATTTCATTTCCAGGTTTTCTCTTTTTAGCGATTTCTCAAAAAGTCTGAATAATTGTTGTAATCTTAATTATCCTTACTGTATGTTTTAAATGGGATGTGATATATTGTTCAAAATTTTGTCAGAATAATTTATCTTACACTGCTGAATCTTATTTCATATTGGACACAACTGGCCAGAATAAATCGTAGTATACTTAATCATGATAAACAGAAGACCGTTTTTATATCAAGCCACAGGTGAAAGCATAGTGAGATGTGAGAGGAGATGGTGAGACCCTGGTGTTGGGAAGTAGCCGGTCCCTGCACTGTGGCGGCCTGATTCACAACACCAGCTGTCCCGCCCCACCGAGCCAGCAGATGGCGATCTGATGGTGGAAGTGGCTTTCCAGTGGGAACCAGAGAAGTGGTTCCACCTCATTACGTCCTTCCCGGGGGTACAGAGTCACTCCTTCTTCCTCGTGCTCCTAATCTTTGCTACATCTGTGGCAACTGTGAGAAGAGAAAATGCAAATTAGAATCTGAGGAAACCATTTGAGGTGAGGAGAGAGTCACTGAAACACAAGGGAACTTTTTCTGAATTCCTCTTAGAGTTCTCATCATAAATCCAGACATGAGGGATTCTGGGAGACTACCCCACCTCTCTACACCTGATAGGCATTAGGCCACCCACAACCCCCTGCTTCATCTCTAGTGCTTCTGCTCTCCACAGCTCCGACAACATCCTCTATGCAAATTTTGTAATCATACCACAGCAATGAGGAATGTGTGTGTATGTACAGCAAAGAGGGATATAAGCTTTTACTTAGCATATGAAATGAGTTGGGATTAGAATGAGATAAAGAGCAGTGAGAAGAGCAGGAGGAGTGTTACGAGAGAGGTCACTCATAATTCAGCCTCTATGAAGCACTTTAAATCTTCCTGACTACTCTCACAGGCATTGGAATAGCATGCTGGGCTCAGCTGAGTGATAAAAGAGCACCCGCAGTTTCATCAATTATTGTGCACTTCAAATTAAAATGTTGTAGAATATCAGCATGATAAAAAAGGCATAAATCAGCCAGGACTAGGTAGAATCACCTAACAACCCCATGAGCCCAGACCAGTGAGGGTGATTTAGATTATTAAATGTTTTCTTTGGAGGCATTTAGCTGATGCATAGTTCCAGAACATGTAAGGATTCAGCATTTTGTTCTGTGACAGATGTCTGTTTAATGGCTGTGAGCATTTAAGTAGGACTGCCACTAATGATTATTTTAATTATCAATTACTTTTCAGATTATTTTCTCAATTAATAAACTAACTGTTTACTCTCAATGCCAGAAAACTGAGAAACATCATAAAACACAAAGAGAAGCATCAATTCCTCACATCTGAGAAGCAAAAACTGAATGTTTGGGATTTTTACCTGAAAATTACTTAAATGATGCATCAATTATCAGAATAGTAGTTGATTCACTTTTTGATCATTGACTTATCAGTTTATACACTAGTCATTGCAGTGCCACATTAAAGTGTGTATTTTCTTATTTGTTTGTTTTTGGGTATGTGATGGTCTCTGTAACTATTCGGTCCCCCAGCTGCCATGGTTTATGTTCAAAAGGCTGTCAGACTACAAATAGAAACTGAATGTCTACTTGGATTATAATTATTACAAATTATACTTAATTTTAAAGGAAAGCCATAATCATAAAAAAAAACACTAGGTACATGTTTGATTTCTGCTATAAATTAGAGAAAAGTACATTTTCTAACCTAAATAAGGGGTTCAAGGCAGCTTCCTTTTGGTCGTTACTTCGGTTTAAAAAGTAAGACGTGTAAATGGCACAGATGATGAGTAAACGGAAGAACTGCCTGCCATTATCAGAGATACATGTTGACAGAACGTGTGAAGCTAAGCTAAAATACAACAATTCTCTCAGTAGGCGATAGGTGGAATACATGTCAGTTTGCTTCAAGTAAACATCTTCTTAAGGCATACCATAATGACAGAGAAATGTCTATATAAAATATGTGTTCAAGGAATCTTTTGTTTGCTCTCACTCTCTGTGCTTGGCATGCAATGCACTGTAGATACGCAGTAGTTGTTCCTCCTCTCACACTTGTCTCCCCATGTGTTGCTGTGCACTGAGAAATACCTCTCTGGAGAAAAGGTATGTTGTTAGAAAAAAATCACTGCAGATTTGAGACATTACAATACAGTGGCCCCTGGTGCAGATAATTCAAGCATATGCGCATCACTGTAAAAAAATAAATAAATAAATCCACTACTGTGCAGCAGGTTTTGGCTCGACTGTATAATTCTCACTTGCATATATTTTACCAGGGATATAATTTACCAATGTGCATCCACGTTGACAGGCAGTATGTATAAGCATGTCAGCTTTATGTGTGCAGAGTGGTCTGACTAAAATGACAAGATGGTGCATTCACATCAGCGAAAATGCTGCAACAAAATCCGATCCACTCTCATGGCCCTCGCAGAGAAACCGGTTGTGCTTCAAGAATAAATATGGTGGAGTGGAAAATTCACAGGTAGAAGATTCGAGATTAGGAGTTAAATGCAAATGAAGCATGTTCAGACTTATTGCAGCAGAGCAACATGCAGAGCATTAAATGTGTCAGCATCGTTCGTTTGTGCAATATAAGTAAGCCTACATTTGGACTCTTACTACAGTATTTATTATAGTTAGCTCCTTTCTGTAACCCAGGCTCAATACCAGACATTAGACTGTACAAGGATTTATATTCGTCCGGCATTCACATCTATTTCTTTGTCTTTCACTGGGCCGGTGTGAAGCTGACGAGAATGCGAGCAGCAGCTGAATTCCTTTAAATAGCCCTGCCTGCCTCATCATATGGTTGCTATGGCAGCCAGCCCCTCGTTTCAAGATAACATCCACATGCTCTGAAAGACTTTCTCCACCTGAATGCTATAGATCCACGGTGCTGCTTGGCGAGAAAGAGATTTGCCAAGCCGATGTAGCCACTTAACGGCACATGTATGAATAATGAATAATGTTTTATGTGTCTACATGTCCGTGGTGTGACAAATAATCAATATTTGAGCTATGCATTTGTATGAGATCAATCTGCTGTCAACGGAGCTACGCTTAGTGGGTGATTCAAGAAAAGAGCTTGGGGAAAAAATGACAAATGCTTGAAGGATATGATGGAGGGAAGAAGAAAATGTTAAGACGCTAGAGAAGGAATACGGCAGAAAAAAATCTGATGTTAGAGCAAAAGGAGATCAAAAGTGAAATAGATGAGTGAACAGCTGGTACAAGAAATGGGGAAATACAGAGAGAAATGAAGGGTGAGAAAGAGGATGAATGATCTGTAATGTTTTGGAAAGAATGAAGGGATTGAAAGATAACTATAGACAGGAGAGCACAGTAAAAATGTCATCTCTTTAAAGATGTCTTTCTCTTTGCAATATCCGTGCTCTTCTTTACACCCTATCTCCCATCTCCTCTCCTTTCTGCTATCCCCAGCCCCTCGTCCTTTGTCTGGTGTACTGCTGCTCTCTCTTCACCCAAGCTCTCAATTAGTCATACAGCATGTTTAGCTGAGGGTCAAACAGGACATTAACAGTGCAGGATTAAGCGGCTGCTGTGTGCATGGGTATTTCCACATAGATGTATTTCTCAAGCTGACTTTGTCCCAAATCTCTCCTCTAAGTGCACTCAGAGAACTAGCGTGAGGCTCCAAGGTGTGAAAAAAATAGAGGCAGACTTTCAGAGCATCAGCAGGTTTAACAAAACCAAATTTAAAGAGCTTTTTAATGTCTCCTGGAACTGAATTTAACATCAATTTAACAGCTAAAATGCGGAAGAAAAACCTGTCAAAACTGGGTTATTTCAGACTGAAACGGTCTAATGCATTTTTAAATGTGAAAAGGAAGAATGCAATTGTCTCAGTCCTATTGATGAAATAAACTCACTGTGAACATCTGAAAACATATTTAACATAAGTAAATATAACAGGAAATCCAGTAATTACAATGAACATTTTGGTGTAAAAACAGCAGAATTTGAATGATTTCATTTTATTTTAACTGATGTCTAATAACACCATCAATGAATTTCAAATTAAGCATTCACTAAATATGGTACTGTAAAGAATATATGTAGGTGTTTTAAAATAAAATTTCACTGAAAAAAAAAACTGTATCGTACTGTAAGTTGAAAATATATGAAACCCTTCAATTTAATTAGCTATAACATTGTTTTAAAAATCACACAGAGACTTTAAGAAAGTCTGCATATTTTGTACAAGTTCAGTTACATTTTTGGTGTCTTTTGTAGCCCAAATGGTTAAATAACAATAATCATTTAGCAATATTGTTATTGGATATAACCAGGTAGATAAAGAGGACATACAATAGATAAGAATTTAAGCCTACAGACAAATGAAACAGGATGGATTTTTCCACTTACCTTAGAAAGTCTGACTCTTCCAGTCATCTAAACATCCTATTTGCCCTTGTGTACGGAGCCTAAATGGGAGACAAATCAGTAAAGGGTGGTCATGAAAATCCATATGCAGCTGTTTGAAACTATTTCTGTGGGGAAATGGGTCTCCAAAAGAGGAGAAGTCAAAAAGAAGTCAATAAAAATGGCACCCTCAATTTCCTCTTAAAACACACAGGCAGGCTGATTGCATTTGAGAGAACAGGGCGCGCCTCAGCATCTCCTAATGCGCCTGTAAATTGAATTGGAAAATGATGATGTCTGTTGTATGCAGTTGGCCTGGAAGTCAAGGAAGTAAAAAGCTTTGCTGTGGAGAGCATCCTCCCCATCTCTGCGTTTTAGACCCACACTATTAACCAGCAGACCTCCACTTGTGTCAAACACTATTATTCTCTTTTATCACATCACCACATACTGAGACAGACAAACTCACCATACTTATTTTTTTAAAATCTTTTAATCAGATGATAAATGGCTGTGTTAGCAGAACTGAGAATGAACAGTCTCCTGAATTGCAATGCTTTAATATTATCTGTAGCAACACACTGCAAGTCTGTAAGGTGTCAATGAGTGCATAAGTTGAAATGACTCTTACTGTGTTTTGTTTCCATTATTAAGGAGCTGTGGTGGTCATCTCTGAGAGTTGCAGCGATAAGGATGCTGGCTGAGCATTTGCCAAGCATCCATTTCCTCTTAAGTCAGGTGTAAAAAGGCTTTTGCCAAACAAAAGTATACACATGGACTGCTGACCTCATGTTGCCTTCACTCAAAGCTGAACATCAAGATGTTTCCAATTAAATAGGTTAAAAGCTGAATTATATCTTTGCCCTGGCCTTTCTAACTTTATCGCATTTATAGTCTTATTTTTAAATTGTTATTAGCGTATCAGTAAAAACCAGAAGCTCTTTTAAGTGAGGTTATAGTCTGTAACTGGGCCTCTGGTCTCTCTGCATATTGTAGCTTTCTAATAGTCTGTACTATAATTATTGGATATTATAACAGATATAAAACTTTATATGTGCATATTTCACTCATATGTGAAACACTGGTCTTTGTAATGATTATTCAGCACAATGGCCAATATACTCTCAATATAAAACAGCACATAAATCAAACGGAAGACCATTTAATAAGGTAATATTCTGTACTCTCAATTTATTTAAACAGTATTTTGGAAGCTAGTTAGTTATTCCTCATTAGTGTTGTTGTCTTATTTTTTTTATTTTGAAAAAAAATCTGCCTCAACTCGTCCCTTGAGCCCTGGTTTGCTGTATTTATAGGAATTAAACTAATGACTCCATTATATCTGTATTGGACTAGTAGACTCACAATGTGAGATAAAGAGAGAGAGAAGCATTATTATTCAGTAGCAAATAGAAGCAGTATCTCACTGCCTCTCTCTCTCTCTCTCACACACTTACTGTATATACACACACATCCACAGACACACCCTACGTCTTCTGTTGCATGTGAACGTACAGCAGCATATTCGCTCATCACCGTCTTTCCACCATTCAGCTGAATGCTACGGCCATGCATTTGCTTGACGAATGCTTTAGAAACAGCAGGAGGGATTTTAACGTACAATTCTGACCCTAACTGCCACATCCAAGACTCGGAGCATGCTCATGCTCATTCACATACACACACACACACACACACACACACACCTGGTCTCTCACGCAGACGAGTCAGACACTCGCACAACTACGATAAGGCCTGAGTGGTGGTTGTAATTCAGTTAAACTTTGTATTTTTACAGCTTCTCACCGATGACCTGTAGAAAATGCTAGCACTTGCAGTATTTGAATTATTAGCAAGACAACACAGTATTAACGTAATCCAGTGATTGTTATAATCTGTGCTCTGTGTATGTCAGTGTATATGCAGCCTAATAAGGAATATGGAAGGATAAGTAGGTATGTAAATGAGAGAAGGCTGCTTATTTTGGTACAGAAGCATGTGTGCATTAGGAAGGTGCCCATCTCTGAATGTTGCTCTTTAGTATGAGAACTGTGTCATAAGAGAATTGACATGGCAAAAAAATTAACTGAGGACCTTAGAGGAGGCATTACTCTCTTTATGCCAGAGCATAAAGAGAAAAAAGCATAAATAAAATTGCCATCACTCAATATCTCCTCTACGATTACAATGGAACATGTTTACAATGTGTTTTGTGCCACAGTAAAACCGCTGAAAGTCTACTGACTGTGATAAATCAGCAACACTAGCTGTGTTTTATGGATTTCTGGATGGCTTTTCACCCACCACTCCTTTCTCCTATGTAAGTACTGTATATTATTTGATTGTCTGGCCTTTGGTTTAAGTGCAGATCTATAAATTTACAAGTTTCTGCCTGATTCTTGCAGATGATTTTGGCACAGAGGCATGCCAAAGGAGCACTAACCCTGATGACTCCTGCAGGTTGGCAGTTCTGGGCAGGGCCGGCCTTGCTGGCTACCTGGGCGGATGGATGGGTAAAGTGCTGGATGGCTGGCTGAGTGGCTGGCTGGGTGCTGGGCCGGCGAGGCAGAGAGCTGTAAAGAAACAACAAGGTCAGCTGTTTGGCAGAACACATTCAGCACCTCAGTGCTGGTCTGTGAAAATGTAGACATTATGAAACTGGTGAACGTGAAGCTGAAATGGCTACGCCAACTCCCAGCGCTATCGCCATCTTAAGTAGGGTGGTGCATTTTATTTTCAAAGCTGAGTGTAGACCCTTTATAGGCACCTGGAAACACAATCATTGGTGGTTACAATAAGGCGGTTTGACATAATGGTTCCTATAGTCTAGGTATACTGAGGTTGGTAATTATGGATTAGCAGAGATCTCGGCTGAGCGGAGACTTCCCCTGACACAAAGCAGTTAGTGAAAAGCATAAGCAGGATTACTCTCACATAGACCTAGCACAAACAACCAGCAGAAAACACACCTATACAAAGAGGCGTAAACACACACATACACACACAGCTATAGGCACACACCTCAGACCTACACACTCTTGTCGGCCATCACAGACAACGTGCCAGCTCGGCAGCCATTTTGCAGGGCTGCTCTAGAATGTTCAATTAGGGTAATTGTTGCTTATGCCATCAGTTCTCAATGTTACAGACATCATGTATGCAACAAAGTGCCATTTTAGCCACTGTGCTGTTACACTCACCTCATATGATCATGACAAAAAAAAATGCGGGGGGGGGGGGGGGCACCGCCCTGCAGCTTGTCAGTGCTCACATAAGGAGGAGGGAGGGGATGAGTGTGTGCATGTGAGCTCAAAGAGAAGAGAGGAAATGGGAAGGGTGGGAAATAGAATAAAATGGAAGAGGAGGGGGGGAAAGAGAGGACAGAAGGACACTGAAAAAGAAATGTACAGCTTGTTCTTGTTGCCACCATTTTTATACACAGACTATGCAATTTGGTCACTGTTAAATCGGTTACGGAGAAGCTCTGGGCTAACAATATACACTGCTCAGCTCTCCTGATGTCCACAGTAATCATAGAACAGAGGATAATGAACAGCCCACACTTGTAACACAGCGTACACAAGAACATGGATCCTAAATATTGAATTGTGCATTTCCAGGTTATTTCACACTGAATGGCTCTGTGTCACAGTGAGCGTGTGACCTGTGCAGTTCTGTGTCCGGAATCCCAGCCCAGCTCTCCACCAAAGTGGACCCTGTCTAACCTAACGTTCTAGTCCTGGCCCACACTGTACTAACCAACAAATGATCTGAAAAAGTTGGAATTGTCACTTCTTACATAAGAAATATTTTTGTCCAAAGAAAATGGGTCTTTCTGAATGCACAATATTGTCCTCTGTGAGTACAGCATGATGCCATTTAAAAGTTTGCCTGTTTGCTGCAGCATTTATTGAACCAAACAGCTGGGACTAGTCCTAAAATACAACAGCACTAGACTTCAACTCCTCTACAAAGATTTAAAATCACATGGGCAAGGTTCAACAAAGGCCACATTAGGATAAGAGCACACCTATTACAGCAGTTGACACAAAAAGGGAATTGATCATCTAGTGTCGTATGGATGGGGATGAAACAGCCTACAGCCTTGTGAGACGGGGACTTGGCTGGTGCTGCATGACGGTAGAGAGTCGGGGTGGGATGATGACCAGCTGTCAAAAGAAACAGGTTCAATAAGGGAGTCTGAGACTGAAAGCAGGAGAGAAGACCAAGAACACAGAGGCGCAATGCGCACGTCATCTCCACAGACATGATGATCAAACAAACTGTACACACCATTCAAAGTACAAACCCTCCCCCTACTCCCCCACCCACATATACTCTCACTCAGAATGGGTCACAAGACTGCACTTACGATCCACCGCCCTTTGTCTGGGTTCATCGGTCAGTGATGGCTGGCAGTTTGGCACATTCCACTCTGGCTCCTGTTCTTTCTGTTCTCCTTGCACATGCACACACACACATACATCCACAACAGTAGTCATGTGCATGACAAATGACCCCTCCTCGGACAAGCGTTTTAACCTAATTCTTATATCTATCCCACATTACAGTAGTAACCACCACCCACCACCACCACCTTTCCTCAGCCTCCGTGTCCTCACAACGCACCCTGTCCCCACCCCAACCCCCACCCACCGGGTGATCATCTGCTGTGACCGTGTCCTCCTATCACCGTGAGTCAGGAGTGTTCGACAGTGATGGGTGGGTGGGTGGGGGTGAGGAGGTGCACCCATTTTGACTTCTTTTCTTTTCTGATCATACACGGCTGCTGACAGTGAGAACTTTCCCACCAAACAGCAGCGGTGTGAGCGATGCTACAGCGCCAGACAGAGGGGACCCTTTGTCTCCCACCACCACCACACTGGGAGGGACAGTGTACGCACACACACATATACTGTACATGCTGGCATTGTACATACACACACTCACTCACTAACAGCAACTACGTACAAGCTTAGACAGCACACTGCTACACTGACACATCGGTATGCTGTTTCACCAGGATGCAAAAGGAGCAGCACTGATATCCTGGAGTGCACCAGCAGCTGCACACCTGTGTATGTAGATCTGTTCAATACAGTACATCCTTATGTGAAAGCAATGTGGAATCATGTTTGGATCCCTGTGTGCATTCATAGCATGTGTGTCAAAGTGTATGTATGTGTGTCCCCAGACTCACCTGGCAGTGCCCCTGGAGCTGGCTGTAATGCAGCCTCAGCTGAGGTTGCAGAGCTGACACCTGATGTCCCTCCTCCCTCCAACTCTCACTCTCTCTGCTGTAGTGTAGGATCAGTAGCTACACCCTAGCACTGACAGAAAAGAGGGAGACAGACAGGAGGGGTTCTTATTGAGCCTGGCGGGTCGTACCACCAGCCAGCTCTGAGACGAGGGGACGCCAGGGGGCAGAGCTGGTAGGGACAGCCCTGATATGGCTCCGTCCAACTGCCTCAGAACCACCCCGCTGTCTACACCAAGATGGTCTCTCCCTACTCTTGTTGCTCTGATTGGACAATGTGCTTCCTCCTTCATCAAAATGTAAAATTCCAAGACAGAGAGAGTAGTGCAGCGTTTGTGTGTGTGTGTGTGTGTGTGTGTGTGATAAAATGAGTGTGTCTTTGAGAAAGACAGGCAATGCAAGACAAAAAATGTGTACCTTATGTGTCTATTTGTGATGTATTTGTTATGCAGACTAGTATGACTGTGTGCATATGTGTGAGCGTATGTGTGTTTGCCTGAGCATTCATGTGAATGTGTGTGTTTGCGCCTTTGTGTCAGAGAGACAATATACAGGATGCCATTGTCTGTGTGGGCGTGTGATAGAAGTAGAGGTAGTTGAGGGAGAGACACAAGACAAAGAGAGAGAAAGAGATAGGAAGACATAGTGAGTGAGTGTGTGCGTGTGCATGTAAGAAAGTGTGTATGTAATAGAGGGAGAGAAAAAGAGCAGTGTGTACGGCCCAAGAGCTGTCATCATTAGTCTCTCCGCAGCAGCTGGTGTTGGGCTGCAAAGGGGCTTGTCAGTCAGGTTCTGTCACAACATGTCACACTAAATGGACATAGACACACATACACACACCTTCCCAGAGGGATCATGTCAAGATGGGGACCGAGTTGCTCTGACAACCTCTCACAACCTTTCACCCCTCTCCTCTGACTCCTCTGCAGCAGTGTCAAATGCAGAACTCAATCCCCTGATCTGTCGATTTTACTATGAACTCAAAATGTGACATAAAAAGGCAGGTAAAATAGGATAAGGTGGGACGGGAACACAACACACAGAAAAACCATAAAATAGCGGAGAGAGTGGCAAGAAGGAGATGGCAGCGAGCACTCACATATGGCCAAGTCCCCTGACAACTAACCGGTGAAATACTGCTGACTCACTGTGCTCATGGCCGGCCCTAAAACACACAGACGAGCTAGCTAATCCAGCTAGGCTAATTCACACAAAACTGTACAGAACACAGAAACCAATTACTGATAATGTCAATGTAAGAGTGCATAGAAAAAGAACACATAACCAGCGCTTCACACCTTTCTAATCAGTCCCTTGTAGTTTGTGCAGAAGGGAGTTTTATGCTCACACATAAAACAGACCTTTCCTTTTCCCTGTTTTTTTCCTCTGTCTCTTTCCCGTTGCCGATTTAATTACCTTCTATATTTATCGGAGTTGAAGATGCTATTTTGGTTCTGAGACTCTTGTCACTGATACTGGGAGGCTACGTTACTCAGAGTCAGAGCACCGAGAGCTGTCAGACACAAAACAAGAGTGCTATTGTTGACCTAAAGGAGAAAGGGGAAGGCATATGTCACAATCACAATATGGCTGATCGCATACGTGTAATATCTAACATCTACCCGTACAATGCGAAGCTGTGATTTTGTCAAGAACGGTGTGGACCGCACTGGCCAAAGATGTGGTCTGTCTTTGTCGTGTCTCCATTTTCCGTCTGCTTCATCTGAAACCTCAGCTCCAGAGCATCAGTAAAGAGAAGACGACTATTTCACACATAATCACACAAAAAAAACACACATATAGATACAAACTACTTACCACAAAAACCCAGAGGTGCATGTGTGCCTGTGCACAGCATGCCCACACACACACACAGAATAACACATACAGCAGGTATGGATCTGCGTCTTCCATATTTGGTTGTGATTTATGATTGCTCTTCAGTAGAGGCCACAGTCATCTCAGAGATGATGGCCATGTTGATCTGATAAACAGTTTCATTTGCTACCAAAGCTCACCATTCATAGCCACACTCACACACACTCAGGCATGAGTACATTCGCACACACAATCACAGCAAAGGCACACAGATTCACA